CGTGGAAAGAACCAGCACTTTTGCCCCTGTGCAGGGGTTTTGGTCGCGTGACCACACCCCCTTGAGGTCTCGACCAGCAGCACGTCCACATCCATATCAACGGCAACCGCCAGCAGCACAACGAGTACCGCAGGACCCCGGATCCAGGGTCGGTTTAGGATCGCGAGGTGTGGCTTTAGAGTTTGTGTGGCGTGGTGTTTGGATTTAGGGTCTGAGTGCTGCTGGTTGGGCGGGTGTTCAGGGACTGGGCGTGCTGGTGGCCTGCACGAGGGGCGCCTAGCTAGGATGTTTGAGTGTGAAGTTTGGGGGGCTTGTGTCTGGGGTGCAGTCTGTACTTCTTATAAAGTCTTCAAGTGGAGGTACTTGGGAGCTTAGGTTGTGGTGCTTGAGGATTTACGGCCTTGGGTCGTCCCACTTGGGCTAAAAGCTGAGCCTTGGGCTTCTCTCATTAGGTGACTCCTCTGGTCTTCTGGTCGGTAGGATCCGTCACATGGACATCGACCAGTTCCCACACAGAAACGGCGGCAGCCTCACAGTAGGAATCATAAACTTCTGGAGGGTTCAAGCATGTCCATGCTGGAGTTCTTCCCAAGGAGACAGCCAAGGATGTTTCATGCCATGTCGTGTTATGTCGTGAAAGAATCAGTGCTTCGCCATCTCTGTACAAGGTCTCGTCATCGACGTGGACACAGCCGTTTGCAGTCAGCAAGGTTTGCCAGTCCTGTGAATGCAACGGCTGGCACGGAGCAGGGCACCGAGCATCGCTGGCGGAGCCGCTCGGACTCGCAGGGACATCAGGTGGTTCGCAGTCCAAGAGCCCATACAATGAAGGTTTAGGGTTTAAGGTGCGCGTCCACATGCTGGATTGCCGCGGCAAGCCACTTTCAGCACTGGGGTGACAGTCCAGGCTGGTTTTTCCTGTTTGTCCTGGAGCACTGCACGCGAACAGACCCTGGCAGGCATGTGCTTCTGCTGCCCTGGGGCAGACTATCGAGAGACCCAGGGCCACTCGTGGATGCGAGTCCACGAGCTTCAAGCCTATCTGGCAACGAATTCGGCCACAGATACCCGCGCAAGGACCTTGTCTTGCTCCGCACATACAAGACATGAAGACATCAGCCTTCACGTCCTTCGAGCCCTATCCGTAGACCATGCTTCAGGACAACAGCTTCTACTTCCCACTCGACGTCAAGCAGCTTTGGTGGGGAGGAGGGTGCTGCAGGTTTCGGTGCGTTTTCCACTGTAGTGGGAGGCTAAGTACGTTAAGCTTTTGGCTCCCAGATTTCAGCATAGCTCTGAGGCTGAGTATCTTGGCTCAAGAACCCGATAAACCCTCAATCCTAAACTCCTAAACCGCAGCTATGATGCGCTTCTTGGCTGCGCGAGGACGAACCTGGGCTGAGCTCTGCGGTGGTGGCCACACTTTCCATCCTCATAGTCACGCTGCTGTCGGCGGTCTTGGTTGGCATTGCGGTGTGCAAGCGCAGGGCCAAATCCAGTCTGGCGAAGTCGGGCGAGCGGCTGATGCCACAGGACCGTCGAAGAAGGGTTTCCAAGGAGGTCGTTCGGTCTTGGTGAAGGAATGAGCCGGATTGTCCTTTGCAGGCTTCCCTGATTGCGGCAGCCTCCCTGGAATTGGGAATCTCTGCCCTTTACTTGTTTCCAGGATGCAGCGAGATGCTCTCAAGATTCTCTGCTTGTCTTGCATTTTCTGATCCTGTCAGAAGGGTGGGTTCCGCTCTGAGGCAGGCGACCTTTCCAGAAGAGGCTCGGGCGGCAACAGGCCGACGAGTCCGTCACCGGGAGGGCAAGATCTATGGATTCGACACCTGGTCTGGGGGTTCGGGGTGGGAAGAAGTAAGAAGCATTTGAAGTGTGGCCCGCTTCACTGACCTTGTGCAACTTGTCCAGGGATGGCAGATCCAAACTTCTACGAAATTTGCAACGTCCTTGCCATCGGTTCCAGCGGCAAGGGCTTCGGCAAAGTCTGTCCACGTGACAGCAGAGTAAACTGTAGCATCGTTGATGCCTTGGACGCGCCAGCACAGGGCAGAGCCACCCACTTCGTCTCGTGGTGCTGGCGCTACCGACTAGAAGTTGTGGTCGACGCCGTCCATACATGGATACAATCGTCGCATTCAACTCCATCTGCTGCTGAAATATTTCTGTGGATGTGTTTTTTTGTAATAACCAGTACAGAATCCTCGAAGAGGGTAGCATGTCCGGCTCTGCGGAACTTCAGACAATCTTCGAAAGCCACCTGGCCAGTGCCGGCAAGATGCTGGTCATTTTGGACACCTTCCTAGAACCCTTGTACTACTCGCGCGCCTGGTGCCTTTTTGAAACTTACGTCTGTATAGAGCAGGGGTTCCCACGGGACATCCTACTGCCCAGCAGGGAGCTTGAGGCCTTTAAAGACATGATGAGAAATGGTGAGGCCGAGCCCATGCGTCGAAAGATCCGTCAAATTGACCTGCGACGCGCAGAAGCTACGGTGAAGGCTGACGAGGACAGGATCAAATTGATGATCTTCACCTCCTGTGGCTTTGACGCGGTGAATCGAGTTGTCCAGACAGAGATCCAGAAATGGATATTGAATGCCTTTGCCATGTACATGAGTGATTAGTTGTTTAATTCAGCATAATTCAGCAAGCCAACACTCAGGGACCACCAGAGTCTTTGCGGCCTGCTTGTGGTCTTGGGAAGTTGTGTCAAGCACAAGTTGTCCCCGTGTCTTGTTCCACAGGACCAGCTCGTGCAATTTTGGGGGGCGCTGATATGTTGCCAAATGTCCTGCCCGCTGGTGAAGGGTGATGCGCCCTGAAACTGGCCTGCCTCTGCGATCTCCATCGTCACCGTCGCCCGAGTTCTTGGCTTATGAGCTTCACCACGTCACGTAGGTGACCACACATTCCAGATCAAAGACCGCCGATCTTCATGCCATGCAACTCGCAGAAGTATGACCGAGCACCGTGGGAAGTGTAGCAGCAGCCGGCGCAGTGCCATGGACCTGTTAGGCTGGGGGCCCCTTAAGAGAAGCTGCGCGGGAAGAGGCCATTTTCTCAGGAAGCGCAGTTCCTGAGCTCAGGTTGCCCTTTACCTAACCAGAGCCTGAACACTACTTGAACAAGTGCTTGGGTCGTTATAACTAGGCTTATAAGGTACCTTCATTGAGGTTCTATCTGCCCATGAACCAGTAGGGTTCAGGGTTTAGGGTTGCGGGTTGGTCAAGAATCCTAGGCCCTAAACCCTAAACCCTTAAAGCCATGAGGATGATATGCTTCCCTAAAGCTTGCTTAGATCTGACGTCCGACCTGGGCCGCCATGTCGGGCACCGCCCGGCCCACAGAGCGACCGTGGAGGAACGCGGCCCTGCGAGGCGACTGGAGCTCTGGGATTTTTTCAAAGGGTCCAAGTACTAGAAAAGTATGTAGTTTTGCGGCCCAAATAGCCAGTAAGTGGCTCCTATAATGCTACTTGGGCCCTTTGGGTTTAGGGGGTTGAGAGCTAAACCCTTCACCCCCAGAACCCCAAACCCGAACTCCCCAGGGAGAAAAGGGCTTCTCAGTTGGTTTGCAATTGCAGCTGTTTGAAATGGTCAGAGTGAAACATGTCGTGTGCTCGGGGGCCGACTGTGGAGTGCTGGATGAGATTCATACGGTTGATGATATAAATCCTGCATGACGGAATGTACCATATTCCCATAGTTTAGGGTCCTTAAGGTAGTGCAGGATTTCCATCACCAACAGTACGACATAGATGGTGACCAAACATTCTTGGTGTTTTTCCTTAGTTTTTCGATTCTTCGATTCTCCTTTTCTGTGCCTCAAGAGGTAATTACAGCAACAGCATTTCGGCATAAGTGCCGAAGGTTCGCTTGGTGTCACATCTCCCAGGGAACAAAGCAATTTACCAGGCAGCTCCGCACAGCTCAGCGCCAGGCCCTGCACATTCTCGCATGAGGAGCTGTCCAGGAGAACCGTCCTGGTCCAACAGGCAGAGGCTCAGCCGGCAGCAGAGTATGAAAATGTGAGAGGGGCTTGCGGTCGACACTCGAAGCGTGGGGCGATTCTGACGAAAGCACTGCGCAGAGAAGGCGTCACAAAGAGGCATGGGCCAGAGAGTACCCTGCAATTACGCACTGCCCAACACTGAACATCCCCGTGGGTGGTTTGCCGCACAAGTGTTTCCCCACCCTCAAACAGCCGCGCTCCCATCCGTGCCACGCCGTCTTGCCAGCCAGATAACAGGACAGGAGTGACATCAGAAGACAGATGAGAGCACAGACAAATGGCAGCGGAGGTCTCAGGGTCCCTGATTGTACCTCGTCTGCTCCAGCCTGCCTCCTGTCGCTTGCAAGTTAAAGGCACCACCCCGTGGAGTGAAGCCATGTATATATCACCGAAAGACCTGGATCTAAAACCTACCCCAAAAATCCAACAGCAATTTCCAGCCGCAAGCTGTGGGGGCAAGGCCACATCAGTTGTGTCAGAGGTATTGTTCATGTGCTGCACTCTGTGTCTTGATCGGAGAGTGGTTAGTACCCACATAGCTGGCGAAACAGCGAGGCCCTTTGGGACCAGAGCTTGAGCTGCTCTCTTGACTGGACAGTTTACTCTGGGTTCGTTTTCTGGAAGGGGTCTACCATCTTCACCAGCTGGGCTCAATATACCTTTGGCCTACTGAAAGTTCAAATTGAAGCTTTTTCATGCAGTTGGGCGACATCTGAGTGTCGCTGTGAGGGTATCTGCTTGCTTTAAATCATTCCCCGAAGAATTTGTAATTTGCCTACGCAGTTCTTGCATTCTTGTTGTCCTTAATCTTTGTGCAGTGATCCTTTTAATGCTTAATTGGGAGGTTGACCGTAAGTGTAGCGCGAAGCCATTGTGGTCTTCAAGCTTGTAAGAAGCTAGGGGGCTGTCCTCGATTTGCTAGCTGTGCACAGTCTTGGTTGCTTGGTGAGCTTCTTCTCTGAACCGCGGCTACCTAGGGGGTTGTTGAGGCTAGTTTTGGAGAGTCACCAAACAGCAGTCTATCGTGAGTCCTGCGCTTTACACTCTTGGCTTGAAACCTATGCGGTCCGTCGTTTCTGAGAGTGTAAAGATCCGGGACTTGCCACACACAGTTGCTCTTGTTCTGGAAATGGTTTTCCCTGCAGTGCGACCTGGTCAGCGAAGCGGGTGGGAATAAAACCAACCTCGCCCTAAATACTGGCCCTTGCCAGCGAGAGCGAGAATCGAAACACTGGCCCTAGGCCTAGGCCCTTTCCACCACTGAGGTTTTGGGGTTTAGGAACCCAAACCGCTTCCAAAACCTGAAAACCCTAGGCTTTTCATTTCATTGACACTGTTATCTGGTTTCTCATTGGAGCCTGTCTGCTATGGTTTCAGGCCAGAGCACGTCTAGGTTTGCCAGAATCTCTGGCCCGTGAAGCGCATTCCGCAAGAAGTGCAAATTGCAATTTCAGAGGGCGATTGGCGGGGTTCTGTGGTCCGGGTCTGCGTGCGAAGAATGTTGCATTCGGCTCCAGTGGGCGCCTTCCAAATGGCTTCTGCTAAATGCCCATCATCAGCATGGCCTGCAGCTGAGTAGAGTCCAGGTGGTGCCAGGTCACTCATTTCTCCTGGTATGTTCTTTGACACATGTGCTTTTTAGCGCATGGTAAGCGCATGGTGGTGGAAGCCAGCTGAATGCAAGTTTCTAGCGAGGCGCCAACGTCTTGTGATCTTGTAAGAGGTTTGCAGCACTTGCTGAGGCTCACTTGCCTGGTGTTGGTGTCAACGTCGGCCTTGGAGGTCGCGCATAGATGAGCAGGGATTTGTTTCGGCACCATGTCCTAGATTGGGAACAAAAGAGCACTGCACCAGATGTCGTTCAGAGGATGCAACAGTGGAGGGATGCCTGAAGTAAAAGGATGCTCAGTCCCTTTGGCCCTGTGATCTTGGTCTCCATCATCGTAGGCTACGTATGAGGGTATTCAGCCCTTCCGACTCTCGTGAACTGCAATTCAATACAGCAAAGCCGTTTTTAATTCACACGCTTATGATGGGTCACACAGGAATCACAAGGGCAGCCACTGCTTCAGGGACTCTGCCAGATACTGTGGGGCCCGACAGGCAGACCCGCCGGCTTGGACCACACCGGACGTGACCGGCACCAAGTTCTGGACCCGATATGGTCAATCTGCTGTCCTGGATGCGAGCGGGAAAATATGGATCTTTGGTGGCTCAAACAGCGCCGCGCTCAGCGGAACCTCATGGGCAATGTACGCCTGAACATGTCTCTGATGAAAGTGCCACTGAATGAGGATACTCCTTTAGCCTTGATGATGTGCTGTGCTTGGACACGCAGGCAGCGGCTGAATTAGGGCTGATATCCGAGCCTCAGTCGAAGCTGGCGTTGCACTGCTGAGCACGTGCACTCTTCAACTGCCTTCATTTTCGACGGAGCCAGTGTTGACTCTCAGCTGTCCGACTGGCTCAGGCAGGAATTGCAAGGCAGTGACTGAGTGTAGTGAGGCGTTCTGGGTTTCATGTGAGTCTGGCCCAAATTAGAAGCCAGTTACTGTGGGCCAGGCAGACCCGCCGGCTTGGACCACACCGGCCGTGACTGGCACCAAGCCCTCTTCCCGAAAGGGTCACTCTGCTGTCCTGGATGCGAGCGGGAAAATGTGGATCTTTGGTGGCCGTGGCTCAGATGGTGCCGCGCTCAGCGGAACCCCATGGGCACTGTACGCCTGAACATGTCTCTGATGAAAGTGCCACTGAATGAGGATCCTCGTACTTTGGTGATGTGCACTGCCTGGACACGCAGGCAGGGGCTGCATTAGGGTTGATATCCGAGCCTCAGTCGAAGCTGGCGTTGCACTGCTGAGCACGTGCACTCTTCAACTACCTTCATTTTCGACGGAGTCAGTGTTGACTCTCAGCTGTCCGACTGGCTAAGGCAGGAATTGCAAGGTGACTGAGTGTAGTGATCCGTTCTGGGTTGCATGTGAGTCTGACCCAAATTAGAAGCCAGTTACTGTGG